TCCAAGTACGACTTAACATTGTATAAGACAAAATTAGTCTCTGCGGGTAAGCTCACGAAAAAATTTGCCTCAGGCCTTCTTCGACGAAAGCCGACTACGGTATTGAATTCTTCCGCCGGCGAAATTGCAACAAACTGCATCGGCAACAACAGCAGCCAGCAGCAGCACTCGGCGCAATCTTATCGAAGTTACGGGATGAGTTTGCGAGGCGGTGGCGGCCGTCGGCCGCGCGCGGCTCGGAGTCAATGTACGATAAAAAAAACGTCGCGCGCTCGCTTACACCGCGTGTCTCTCTACATACAGTGAATAAGCCTCTCTCTCTCTCTCTTACACACACACACAGGCGGCCGAGCTATGCTGCTGCATCGTCATTCTTCTGCCGTGTGGGCGCAACACGTCTCTCCGTGCGGCGCTTGGGGTAGGTCACGGAGAGCTAAACCAACCTAAGCGCTTGTATCGTGAAGTATGTACTACTCTCGCTCGTGTGGAAGGAGCTGCTTTGGTGGGGACGGCTAAGGAGCGGGAGGAGGAGGTGAAGGACGTAGAGATGGGGTATAGAGGAATGAAAGAAAGAGGCGTTATCAAGGGTAGAGCACACTTGAATTTTTTTTGGATTCACTTTTAAAAAAACGCTCCAGTTCAGTTTTATTTGCTTTTTTTACGTTTTCAATTCGATTGCTTGCAATTTAATGCTCAAACTTTAATGAATCTTAAGAATAGGCGATGCCCATCGAATAGCTTTGTTATTTTCTTCTAGAGTACAGACGTCTAATAGTGAAAAATTGCGAGTGAGTACAAGCCTTAAACAAAGATGAAGAGCCGCGCTGTACGGAGAGAAGAAAAAAAAAAGATCTGCGAGAAGAGCGCGCAAGAAAAGAAGAAGAGAAGAAGGAGGATGAGGAGGAGGAGAAGAAGAGCGCGAGCAACGAGAGGAGAATAAAAAAGAAGGGAAAAGTCGAGTGCAGCCGGCGACTGCAAGCAAGCAAGCAACATGCGCGTATAACGAATGATCGCTTTATATAAAACGCTCGCGACGAGCCGCTCGTCGCGTCTTTTTATCGACCGCGGACAATCTCTCGTCTGCGTAGGCGTGTGTCTCTTACAATCTTTTTTTCGTAATAGCGAGCAAGACGTTATGCGATTTCAGCGATGTAACGGTCGTTCGGCACGAGATCTCATGTGTAGAGCTCAAGGGAATAGGACAAAAGGCGAACGTGAGATGTATGAAGCGCAAAAAAAGAAAGAGAGAGAGAGAGAGAGAGAGAGAGAGAGAGAGAGAAAGAGTTTCTATATAAGAGGGGACGCGCATGAGATTGAGAGAGTTTTATACGAATGAATATTTTCTAGAGCAGACATCGGACCCTGCTATACACGCGGCAAAAGCTAATGGAAAGGTGTTTCGTGACTCGGAGCTATTTCTTTCTCGATCCGCCTCAATAATCAAAACGATAGTTGGCTATTCAATTTCTACAATCTTCTTTGGCCGCGCTCGCGAACGCAACGTAATAAATTTCATTATCTCAATCTAAATACTACACCTATCTGGCTCGTAGTGGCATAGAAACCAACACTATCAATCCGACAATGATGCACTCGCAAATCAAGGGTTGGAAAACCGTTAGACATCTCGCATCTCGATAAATACAAAAATGAAGGAAAAAAAAAGTTGCGCGTACAACGAGAAGGGGGTAAAAGCAGCTTGCTGTAAGAGAAAGAGGGATCGAAATTTTCGTCAAGGAGTTACATACGCATGAGAGACAATGCTGACTGGCGCATACGTAATTCGTGCGCGTGTAGTTCCGGGGCCTTTTTCACGAAAACTTTTTTTTTCCGCGCGGCGCGGCGTCAAAGCCGGTTCTGGTGAGAGAGCAGCTGGTGGCTGCTGCGTGACTCGTCTGATGAAAATGGACGTTTTTTTGCCTCGTAGGTGCAGCGCGAGTCGCGTTTTGTTTGGATCGAAAATAGAGCGCTCATTGGGCGATGCCCGTTGGAGAGGCGTTAGAATTTATTTAGTTGCGATCTCGAGTGCTCGCGCCTATTGTTTCTTCAAGCTGCGAGGTTCGGTGAGCGAGAACAAACGGTTCGCTCGTGTTTTAATAATAATGTTGAACTCTTTTAATTGGCATTACAGCTCCTAGCGCTACATGGTAGAAAGGAAACTTAGCTGATCTTGTAAAATCCTAATGACATTTTTTACGATGAAAACCATATGAAAAGTTATCGGATATTCACGAATCTTTTGAAACGAATGATGTTTTTACTGCGGCTGCATTGGCATTTTTCAATTCCGAAACGTTTTGCCGTTTGTTAGATACAAAGTCAATTTAGCGAATGAAATTCCCATGCAATAGAGCAACAAAAAATAATAACTCGCACGCAGTCAATCTGCTGTAGCGAGTCATCGCTATTGAAAGAGGAAGAGAGAAATTCCAACAGATCCGAGGATGAGCAGCGTGCGCGAGAACGGAAAAAGGGGAGGCGATCAGCTCGCTGGTCTCGAAAAAATTCATTTGAATCCGCGAACGAAAGGGGGTTGTAGCCGAGGAAAAAGGCCCGCAAGCTATATAATGTCGCGAGGCGCCGAAATAATTGGATTTCAATTTGATGCGCAAAAAACTCCCCCTCAGTTAGTTTTGGAAATTAGTGTTTGGGTAACACCTTTTTTCGCGATTCTCACGTTCCGGTCCTCTTGAGCTGCCTAGCCCGTTGTCTTGTTGTTTTTTCTCTCTCGTGACAAATGAATGATGCAAAAAATCTGGATCAACCATGCTGAAAGCGACACTTCCGCTCACATTGTTACAATTAATTACTATTTCGATTTTTCAACTCTCCATGTTCGTTTCTTTAAAGCGTGACGGAGATTAATTAAACTAAAGCGCGTATATCGACGTTGTTTCGCGAAATTAAAAAGCAAAAGTTTTGAATAAATGTATGAGAGTGATACGGAAAGTTCGAGAGCTTGGAGAAATTTTTATCTTTTATGTTTTTCAGACTGAGAGAAAATGAAACGTTTTTCAGGCTTACACACACCTTTTTAACGTGTCAAAGTTTGCTTACGGAAAGTTGCGTGTAATTTCGCTCGGATAAGTTCCAGTTATAACGTTACTTGTATTCAATGCGAAGCGCGTACTCTTCTGGTTTTTCCCCTTTTCTGACTTAATTAAATCGGAGTTTCAATTTTTTTCTCTGTATGCAACTTCATGTCATTTCCACATTACATTAATAACGAGCTACATTAACCAACTTATAATTACTAATTTATTTATTTTATTTATAAATTGACTCTCTTTACGTAGTTATATATAATGAGTAATCATCGTTAAATAATTAACCATTGTTGATCACTTTTAATAAAATTCTCCGCTTAATTAAAAGCTTCTTTCTTTTGCCACATCACCCAAAACATTTTTATCGTCCTCTCGTGTGTTTCTCATATTATGCTCTCTTTTGCCTTCCATCGATTTCGTACACTATTGTGTTGTAACGCAACCCCTCGAGGGACTAATTTAGGCGGTAAAAAGGCAGAAATATAGGATACATCGCGTCACCCTTCGTCCGACAGAACAGGTTTCTGAAACAACTCATTGATTTGCCGATAAAATTGATAAAAAAGTTCTATCTAATAATTTTCATCGCGAAAATTCAATACCTACAGTTTGAATAGTTGATTGATGTTTATAAAGTTATATAAGAGCTGCTTATTTAACTTGCTCGTCCTCTGCTGTTTCTGGTAAGACGCTAATTGTTTTGATAGATCAAGCTTTCAGGAGAAAATGCGACTGCTGATAAAATGAAAAAGTTAGCCGGGTAGCCGGGGCAAAGTAGCGCGGCTGCGCGCGCAAAAGTACGAAAAAGAAGAAAAAGAAGAAAAAGAAAGCCGGAGAAAGGCGCGATATGGCGAGCTTCGCTCGCCGCCGCTCGTGGCTCCGGTATTAAGCTCGGCGAAAAGGAAGGGGAGAAAAAAAATAAAATAAAAGGAACCGCGAAAACAAAGGAGCGCGCCGCGCGGCTACTTAGCGAAACAAATTGTTGCTTCGCCACTGTGGGAGAGAGAGAGAGAGAGAGTGAGAGTAGAAGAATTTAAAAGTTTCTCGTGTACTTTTATTTCCTCGGCAAGAGAAAACGGAGACTCATAAAACGAAATTCAATGTTCGTTAGCTCAGCTTTCTTCGCGCGCGCGCGCGCGCGCGCCTGCCGCTCGCTCGCGAAAGAGCGAGAAAAACTTTTTCCCGGCCAAATTGATAAACTTCTTTTTTAATGGGCCGGCAATTGCGCCCGCTTATTCTCGCGTTCAAGTCGCAGGCTCGCCTTGCGCTCGTGCTGCTGCTGTTTAAGACTTTTTCCTCGGGAGGCTGCACTTGGTTAAACGCGCGTATATTTTTGCCTGCGTGTATATACGCAGCAAGGATAACGAGCCCGACTGACTTGAGTACGATTGAGAACGGCAATGGTCGAAACGATTCAATGTCAGAGCTAATGCTGCGAACATTGGTTGCATCACAGGAAACGTTGCCGCATGCGCTCTTCGTATAATTATGATCGACGATTGCGTTTCTATATACATCGAGACGACGACCTCGATGTATATAGAGCAAGTCCCACTTTTGCCGAACATTGCCATTGGAATATGACGATTTTCTTCGAATTCCGATTATAACTGATTATATACACAACATATGTAATAACATTACCACATGACATCGACAACACAGAACACAATGGAGCGACATGCAATTGTAAGCCAATGATCGGGGAAGTTTATGAAACGATAATAACAGTGTGATAACAACAGTTACATCCACAATACGAAACTGCAAACGTTGAAGAGTGCAAAAAAGAAAAAAACGGCAATGGTATCAAAAGCCAAAATCAAAAAACAAGGAAAAAACGGCAATAAACGTCCTGATAAAAGAGAACAAATTAACAAATAAAGAATGAAAACAAGCTGATGAGCAAAAAAAGGGGGGGGGGTGAGATGCCGGGCTGAGTGTTCAACTCACTCGCTGCAGAGTGGACCAGCATTCCTCGAGGGTGCGATCGCTGATGTTGCCCATGCCGCCGGCGCCTGCTCCTCCTCCTCCTGCAGCTGCGGCCGCGTTGCCACCGCCGGCGGCGCTCCCCACGAGGTTGGCTGCTCGAGACTGCGATGCACAGTGAGAGAGCGAGAGAGAGAGAGAGAGAGCGCAGCAGCAAGAGAGTGGGGAGAGGGAAAGACATAGGACAGTCGCATTAGTCGGGATCTTCGTCTTTGATCTTGACCGTCAATTGTATTTGCCCGGAGGATTCCGGATTGAGAGGCTATATTGCCCTGATCACGCGCGCGAGCTTCGACGTAACCTAATCACCACGAAAATGCATCTCCGAAATTTCAACGGCACACTTCTATTTATCGATCGAACAAAAACTAACGTTCTTACTCGTAGCTCCGATGGATTGTGCATCACATATATTTTCTCGGTAAAAACGTCTTGCCGGCCGGCTCTTCGCGATGACGTATGTTCGCGCTCAATGGCTCTCTTTCTCTCTCTCTCTCGCTGCGCGTGTATTATCTGCGTTGCGCGGGTCAAGAACCCCGGCAAGAGACGTATCTGCATTTGAGCGTCTCGCGCATGCACACGTACGCGACTAAGGTGGTGGTGTGTTCGCGACCCGCTGCGCGGGCGAGCGAGCGAGCGAACGAGCGAACGAGCCAGATACGTACAACGCGACGATGCTGCCGCTCTCTCTGCTGCAGGCCGGTTTTTCAATGCCCAGCCGCGAACGCGCGAGCGAGTTTTCTTTTACGCATTCTACATGACTGATAAGCTTTGCGAAATTAAAATCGTTCCACGAAAGCTTTGAGTCTGAATTTACTTTTTTTTGGCCGTTGTTTAATTTTTTTCAAATGTACAATGTTCTTTGCGAATTTTTACATACTGCTCTAAAGTCAAGGGTTTCTATAATTTGACTGACAGGATACCCTAGTTGTACATCGCGAAAACTAAAGTATAATACGAGCGATATTTATTTTGCTGTCAAAGAATAGGGAGCAAATCTTAAGAAATGCATAAGTTTGTAAACGTACCTGTAGCTCGTTGACGAGCTTCTCCGTGAGCGCGGCTTCGTGCGAATCTTGACTGCCAGGTCCAGGACTCATCATCGAGTTCTGGTTGTTTTGCGGCTGTTGATTACTCGTTACGTTCATGCCAGCAAGACCGTTCTGGCTTATGGAATTGGCCATATTGAGCGCCTGCTGCTGAAGATTCTGCGTGAGATTCTGGGCCTGCTGTGCCAAGTTTTGTGCCTGCTGCTGCATCGTCTGTTGGTTGAGACTTTGGCTGAGGTTTTGCGCCTGCTGCTGCAGCGACTGACTGAGGTTCTGCGCTTGGTTCTGCATATTTTGCTGCAAATTTTGGCTCGCCTGGCTCAAGTTCTGTGGTTGATTCAGCAGCTGCTGTTGCTGCTGTGGTGACAGACTTGGCGTAAGGCTCTGGGCCAAGTTGTGTTGAAGGGTTTGGCCGAGGTTCTGCTGCATATTCTGCTGCAACGCCTGGCTTAAGGCCTGGCCGAGATTTGTGTTTAACGCTTGAGCTGCTTGAACCGCTTGCACGGCCAGCGATGGGCTCGGTGCCTGTGACATCGACTGCTGAGCCTGTGCCTGGGCGAGGCTGTGTAGACTCTGGGCCATGCTCGAGGCAATAGCGTTCTGATGGTCAGCCTGCGGCGATGGCGTGGTAGGCGCTGGGGAAGACTGATGCTGTGTTCCCTGAGAACCCTGTGCCATGGATATCGCATGCTGCTGTTGCTGCTGTTGTTGCTGCTGCTGCTGCAGCTGCGAAGCAGTCTGCGCGAGTCCACCGTTGGCCGTATGCTGCTGCACCTGTTGGGTATTGGTCTGCTGCTGCTGCTGTTGCTGCTGCTGCTGCTGTTGCTGTTGCTGCTGCTGTTGCTGCTGCTGCTGCTGCTGCTGCTGCTGCTGCTGACCAAGAGGACTGTGTAGGGAATTCTGTTGGCTGTGTTGGTTCTGCTGTTGCTGCGAGTTTTGCAACGGACTGTGCTGCATGCCTGGCGAGTGCTGAGGTGGACCTCGCTGAGGTTGCTGCCAGTAATCTGACATTTTGAAAACATGCTGTCTGAGCGCGTGTAAATTGGCCGCCGCAGCGGATACCGCCGATGCCTGAACCTCCATGGGCTCTGGCTCGGGTGCGAGATCGGGTTCCGGTGAGCTTGGCTCCTCGTCGTCCTCGTCCTCGTCCCTTTCGGTGATGTCCTCGTCGTCCTCGTTGTGGAGCTTGGCGGGCCTGATGCCCGCTCCGTCGGCTGCAACCGCAGCAGCACCACTATTGTGCTCTGGGCCGCCACCACCTCCTCCGCCGCCACCTCCTCCACCTCCGTCTATCCCACCCCCCGAATCGCCACTGTGATGGTGGTTACCGGGATGGTGCTGGGGATGGTACTGCAGGTGCTGCTGCTGGAGCGGCTGATGATGGTAGGGCTGATGAGGCCGAACCACCTCCGCCGGATTTTGTGGCTGCTGCTGTTGTTGCTGCTGCTGCTGCTGCTGCTGCTGCTGCTGCTGGAGGTGCAGCTGCTGCTGTTGCTGCTGCTGGTGGGGCGGCGGTTGCTGCTGATGATGGTGGTGAAGCTGCTGCTGCGGCGGTTGCGGCTGCTGCTCGTTGGGACTGTGCTGCTGTTGCGGCTGCTGGGGCTGATGATGGTGGTGGTGTTGCTGCTGGGGTTGCTGGGGCTGCTGCTCCAGGCCAAATTCCGATTGGGCTTGCGACTGGGCGCGCAGGTCCAGGGCCGCCGTCGCGTCCGAAATCTTGAGGCCTTCGCGAGAAGCCCGGGCTACCCCCTTCCGGCGCAGCTTGCTCGCTTTTTGGCACTCCTTTCGCGAAGCAGCTCGACGACGGGCGCGCCTCCGCTCGGTGGTCGCCGCCGTCACTCCTCACTGACCAGCAGTAGCAGCGTTGGCTCTCTAGCCAAACAACTACTACTCCTCGTCGTGTCCACTTCTAAGATCTTCGTCGTCGTCGTCGTCGTCGTTGTCGTCGTCGTCGTCGTCGTCGTCGTCGTCGTTGTCGTCGTCGTAGTTGCCGGCGTAGATATCGTCTGAGCGTCGACCGATGGGCCTCAGTCGACGTCGGCGATCTCACCTGCTCGTCTTGGCTATATTGGTGACCTTGACTATCTTCTATTCATCAAAGCTCTTGGATACTTAGCGTTCGCGATGATGATGACGATGCTGATGATTGTTCCCTCTGCAGATTCTGATGCTGATTGATAGTTGTCAGGTCCTTAGTATATAAAAGCTGTGTGAATGTGTGTGGGGAAGATTGTCTATGGTGTGTGTGTGTTGATGAGTATTATCATGCGCGCGCGTTTATCTCTTAATTCCGTGGATGTCCTCTCACTCGATGGAGGACAGCCGCGTTTTTTTCTTCTATTTACTTAAACCCTATACGTACACTTAAGTTCAGGTTAAATTCAGGATTGCCCAGCCCGGACGGTGTGAACGAGATGGAGAGTTCACGGACACTTTGACGTACTTATGTATTTGGTCGTTCGCTCTGAGGAGAGTGGCTCTGCTGTAATATCTTCTTGGTGATTTGTCTCTCGCGCTCGGAGCGAAGAATCGCAATGTTGATGTGTGTATGACGGCACTAGTCGTTCCGTGTTGCCCTGAGTATTTTATTTATTTTAAGCCCCTTTTTATGTGTGTATTGGTTTGGTGTGTGTAATGTTGTGTGCTGTGACGATGCGACTTTCACCTTATCAGTCGATTCAAAGTCTTTATTATACGTTGAGTTATTTATTATTCAGCGGAACGAAAGCGTCACCACAGATTGATTGGCGGTGCTCTTTCGGCGATTCTTCGTCTTGGTCTGTGCGTTTCACACTCCTCGATTGGTTGTACGTCGTCAAAGCCCGTCGACAACTCCCTCTCGAGAAAAATGCGACTCTAGTTTATTAATCTTGAAGAGGTTTACTTTTTTCTTATTAAATCGATTAACCGCGTCGTACCGATCGTCGATGGTAGCTTTTTTACTATCGTTTAATTAATATTGCACTTAGGTACACTCGTTTGTTGAACACACTGAAATATATATGTATGCGGCGCGGGGTCTCGATTTATTCTTCACTCGATTCCTTATTATCACTCTTCCTCTTCCTTTTCCTGCTGATTCTGCTCGAGGTCCTCTCTCTTGTTCTTCAAATGATGATCTTGATCAACCTCGATCGCTTCTTCGCTCTCACTGGTAGTGCTACTGATGCTCGATTTGCTACCCCGTTACTTCCTCTTCTAACCGTAATTCTTCCGATTTTCTTCCACTCTTGTGCTCGACTGCTGCTCTCTTCTTGTCTTATTCTGCTTTTTCCGCTTCGTCCAGTCTTCCTCTCCTGCGCGGGAATAACTCGCTGTAACGCGTCTCCCGCTCGAAGCTGCAATCACAACAAAATAAAAACATTTCTTTTTACTTTTAACGATACGGTAAAACGACAAATTATAATTAACATATGGTGCAATTTATATTTCACTAAACTATTTTTATTGCGTGAGTGTATGTATAGTGTTTTCGAATTGGGATGAAAATGGGCTCACTGAACTTCGACATTGAACCCTGAGCGAAACGTCAAACACACGGCTTTTCTCCGCACTCGATGCACACCAAAGTTCCGATTCATTATTTTTTCTCGCGCCCGAGGATGAGTCGAGAGCACGCTTTGTCGCCGACGTCCTTTATTTCGCGGTAATTTCCGACACAGCCAGCCGCCGCCGTCGCACACGTCATTCCGCGGCTGTCGAAGAAAAACGCTGAATGAGGTCTGCTCGCGAGAGAAGAAAAATCAGCTTTGCACATAGGAAATGAGATGCGGTGACGGCGACGGCGGTAACCGGGGGGAGGGGGTCAAGAATCAACGGCTGTCACATTTCACACTGAATTAGAAAAGAGCGACCTGGAAAAAATATTGTATCGGATATTCTGTCTTGCGTCTGACATTGAACGTGGCTTGATGAATTGAAAAAAGTATGGTTAAAAGTCGACATAGCTTTTGAATACTTTTTTTATTTATTTCGGAAGCTCGCGAAAAGCATGATCTGCGACTTTCACAACGTAACGAAAGCCACGGATTTTTTTCCATCTCCAAGTGACGCCCGCCAAAACGAGATCTTGCTATCGCTCGACTTTGCTGCTATACACTGCCACTAACTTTGACGGGGCCGAGCTCGCGGGCATGTGTCAGACTGCAGTGTTGTGTGGAGGGGGCAAGAGTCGGGGTGCTTAACCAAAAGTGAGGGGAAGACGTGATCACCAGATAAACCGGAAGCAACGGCACCAGTGAACTCGCGGCACTATGTTGGAGCAAGTCGCGAACGCAACAAAGAAATAATAAATTGATGACACTTGTTCACTTGGTTGGCTGTTGCTGCAGGTGTATCCTGAATGCTGTGACTCGCTTTATTCCACTTTCGGGCTGAAACGCGAGAAATTCACTAAAATGTTTCGTTTCCGAATCGGATAGCCGAATGGAGGTGAATTTTTGAAAAATTTCACAAAGTCACTTGATGGCACTATTTTAGAAAAAAAATGTCACTTCGAGCACCACAAGTCCCACTGATTTATCACTCGAACGAAAAGTACGAAAACTTGTTGAATTTGAAAAAAGTCTTCGTTAACACGACTCGTATCACAGAAGTAAACTTGGAAGTTGCAGGTGTGAAATTTTTCAAAGTGCCTCCATCTCCATCCAAGCACAAAAGCCCAAAAGATAAAAAATATCGTTCACTGACAGCAGGCGAAAGTTCGTCTTACTAGATGCCGTGCTCGAGATCCACGACGAGTCAGTTGTAGAGAATCAGTTTTCGCGACACAGCGTGAAGGTCCGTTGAGTTGCGAATCTGAGTACAAGTGTAAGCTCCTTGGAAGTGATAATCGGCATTCGAAGTGCTAAGGGCTGCTGCGTGTTCAAGGGTACGAACGCCAAGACACGACTGTTCCTCTAGTCTGGCGGTCCAAGACGACTAGGTAGAGAGTCTCTCTCTCTCGTCGGGCCGACGACGTCGTCGACGACGACGGCGGAGGAGAGTGAAAAGAGAGGAGAGAGAGAGAGAGAGAGAGAGAACGCGAGCGCCTCCTTTTCTTCCCTCCGCGCGGATCCTTAGCGGGCGAAGGAAGCGAACTGAGTCGGTCGGGTGGCGCGCGCTTCTAAGTCGCTGCTCTCTGTAGACCACCGCTGCCGCGCTCTGGCTCCGTGTATGTGCTAAGGGTTGCGCGAGAAAGAGAGAGAGCGAGAGAGCGAGTGGTGGTGGCGGCGGCGCGTCTCAGACCGCGTGCGTCTGACTAAAAGCCACCCCCTTAAAGAACCCGCGCCGTCTCTCTCTCTCTCTCTTCCTCGCTCGCAAGCTCGCTGCCTGCCTGCCTCTCTCTCTCTCTCTCTCTCTCTCTCTCGTTCTCGCTCTGAGAGCGCGGTAGAGGGGCGTTGTCTTAGGTGATGCGCGGCCGCGACGACGAAATGTTCGGTGCCGCGCTCGCCACCACCGTCGGTGTCTTACTCTCTCCCCCGAAGACGACGACGACGCCTCTCCCCTAACGTCGCTCGCTCGCACGCGCGCGTGGCGGCGCAGGGGGGAGGGAGAGGCAACGGCAGCCGAGCGCACGGCTCCTCGGCTAAAAACTGAAGGTGCCCAGAGCACTGAGTTTTCGCCGCTCGCCAGCTACGGGCCACCCCTACTTTCCTCCTCTACCTGCTGCCGCCGCTGCTTTTCTCTCTCTCGCGGCCGAGGACGGGCGCGACGAGTGGGGGGGTTGGCGCTCCACGCTTTCTGCCGTAGCTTAGGAAAGCTCGCACTCGCGGGGGTAAGATGCGAGCAACCGAGGAGGGGAGAGCGCGCGAGCGCGTCGGCGCGGAAGGAGCCGCGCAACCTAAGAACGGAGCTTTTTACCCCGCGAGCGGAGAGAAAGCTTTTCCCCTCTAGCGACGTGCGCCTCGCTCGCTCGCTTTTTAGCCGAGGTCCGAGGGATGCGAACGGTCAAGGGCCGACGTCTGTATGTGCGGTCTGCCTGCCTGCCTGCCTGCCTGCCTGCTCGACTTCCAGCTCCTTGGACGCGTGTGCTCGGCGGTGAGCCTCGCGCTGTACCAATGACTAGCAAAGGCCCAAGGCACGCCTTGTAACCTGTTTGACGATACACTTGCCCTGCGATGACTGATGACGCTCACTTGGTTCTCTTTTGTCAATTGCCATTGTACTCGAGACTCTCTCGACGAGCCCATTGTTTGGCGCGGATTGCCGACCTGCGTCAATAAGGTTACACTTACACCCTGTCGACGGAGGCTTTGCCGCGTGGCCGCTGTCCAGCAGGAAAAGAGTACAAGGAACAAGGAATAGAAATGCAACTCCTTGAGGACTTGCTATGCCGCGAGTGCAGTGCGTGCGTTCGGCACAAATCGCTAAGTGCAACTAACGCTTTTAAAAAAGACGCGGCGTCGGTGCTACGTACGCGCATAGCGTGCAAGGGGGTGTACACCAAAGTTTTATTAAAAAAGAAGGTGGGGGCCCTTCTTTTAAAAATGGCCTCCGCGGGCTAGTAACACATGCGTGACTAACTCGAAGGGAGCGCGATTGCAAGAGACGACGACGGTCAGAATAAAATTCAATAGTGCTCTCTTTTTTCGGTCGCCCCCATGCACGCGTGCAATTCAGTTCCCCCTTTCGAAAAAAGAAATTACAGGCGTGCGTACCGTTCGATTCGTCGTTGGGAAGTGTATACGCCATCGCTTTTGTTTTTAAGTGTCGGCTGCGCTCCGAACTATCATTATAACTTTACGCTCGTTTTCTAGTTCTTCGTTTATTATTCAAACGACTAATACAGCTCTGTGAAAAATAATTCGTGGTATTGGGGGCTGAACGATCG